ATTAAATAAATAAAAAGAAAAATAACAAAAAACAGTAAAATGAAGTAAAATATATACAAAATCTATATATTTTGTTTTTAGGACCAAGTTTCTTCTTGCATGACCCCTCCACCAAAAGAAAGCAAAGCAGGAAAAGAAGAATAATTAAGTTTCAGCTTAAGTTGAAATGCCACCTAAATAGGATACTGGATTTTTTTTGTGAATGTGAAAAGAAACAAGAATATAAGAATTACTACAATTTTTAATTCTATTGAACAGTTGACTCAAGGTGATAACACTATTAATCTCCATCTCTTTAATGTTTCTAGGATGAAGAATTGTGTTAGACTTCAATTCAATGGATGTATGTTTCGGGTTCTTGTCTGAAAACTTTAGGAAAAATTACAGTTGGCTTACTCTCAAATGAACTCTCCATTAATATGGAATTTTATAAAATAAAATCTGTTGTTGTTGGAAGACCACTGAAAGAAAATTCACATCTTTACTCAAGACCCATTCACTATTAGCAATAAAATATAAAACAGTCATTCCAGTTATTAGTACCTGTTTTCAGTAGTCATATTTAGGGGCTTGTCAAATTATAATGTGATGAATTTCCTTTAAAATGTTCTTAGATTTTACAAGTTGTGTGTTACTGAACAGTTCTATTATTTCCAATATATTGAAATGTATATTAAAGTTCAGTGGTTTTTTTGCTGTGGTTGAATCATTTTGGCTCAACTTGTCAAAATTTGAAGGCCTTATGATTTGTTTCAATTCCAAGAAGGCTTTCAAATATCTATATTAATCTTGTAAAATTAATTTTCGTCTTAACAGGAAGTCTTATTTTTTAGTACCTAGAATTAATTAACTTGAACTTACATGATCCTGTGGAATTTAAAATCTGACAAACCATGGACGTCAGTCGTAAGGTTAGGAATTTAATTACAAAGTAGCTGGCACCTAGAAGGCACTCAAAAAATACTTGTTGAAGGAGTACATGGAATGCAGAGGAGTATCTCCTTTCTAGTAAAAGCGCGATATAACTTTGTGTTGCAGCCAATAAATGCTGTACTAGAAAATTTATAAGAATATCCAGATTCAAATTTTATTGTCAGCCACAAGTGATATCAACTTCCATAGATTGTGTAAAAAAGAGACAGAGTTTCATTAAAGGTATTCATATACTCTCTGATAGGTTTTATGAGACATTTAGCCCCAAAGTGAGAAGATTTAGCTGCCTTTGAGACAGTAGTCAATAGCAGCCGTTGTTATTGGCGTTTCTTACTCTTTATTGTAAAGAAAGAGGAAAGGTGAGAAATTAAGAATTTCTATCAGGCAGTGGCTCATGCCTGTGATCCCAGCATTTTGGGAGGCTGAGGTAGGAGGATTGCTTGAGCCCAGGAGTTTGAGATCAGCCTGGGCAACATAGCGAGTACATTAGTCCATTCTCACACTGTTACAAAGAAATACCCAAGACTGGGTAATTTATAAAGGAAAGAGGTTTAATTGACTCACAGTTCTACATTGCTAGGGACACCTCAGGAAACTTACAATCATGGCGGGCGGCAAAGGAGAAGTAGGCACTTCTTCACAAGGCAGACGGATGGAGTGAGTGCAAGCAGGGGAAATGCCAGATGCTCATACAACCATCAGATCTCATGAGCCTCACTCACTATCAGGAGAACAGCACAGGGGAAACTGCCCCCATGAGTCGATCACCTCCACGTGATCCCGCCCTTGACATATAGGGATTATGGGGATTACAATTAGAGGTGAGATTTGGGTGGGGACACAGAGCCAAACCATATCAGCAAGATTCCATCTCTACAAAAAATAAAAAGATTAGCCAGGTATGGTGGTCCCAGCCTGTAGTCCCAGCTGAGAGGGAGGCTGAGATGCGAGGATCACTTGAGTCCAGGTGGTCGAGGCTGCAGTGAGCAGAGATGGCACCACTGCACTCCAGCCTGAGTGACAGAGCGAGACCCTGTCTCAAAAAAAAAAAAAAAAAAAAAAAAAGATTTTCTACCAAATGTGAATACTCTCCCCTCTAAAAGCTCTGAGACTTCCTAGAAAAGTTGTCAATAATTAGAGTCCAATCAATCACAGGCTGCAGAACAGAAGAAGAATCAACACTAAGATTTCCAGGTGAAGAAAGTGATGCTCATTACAGTGCTTTCCAAGAAAATAAATAGTTTTACTGCCCTGTACCTGCAAGGGAGATACTAATTTGTCTCCAATTCATCACCTAATGCACTATAATCATTCAGTCAATATCAGTCAAGATATTGTATTGGCCAATATGTAACAATTTCAGGGTCAGTTTGCCAAGTCAGTGTTGCTGAACTTAGACTTACTCACACTATATCAGACAGTTTCTATGAAAATCAGGCTTAATCAATACATGGTAAATCAATTTACAGCTATATAAATCTATAAAATGTATCAAAGTAAATATCAGGTATACAGCTATTATTCCAGAGCTGGGAAAAAGAAGTTATCACGTATATAAATTCACAGAGTGATAATTCTAGTAACAGGACTTTAATACACAAACATGAGGCCTTCCCATAACTGTTAGCTGAAGTTGTTTCATGGAAGTAGCAGTGTCTACACTCAGACATTCTCGTCAGACATACAGCTAGCCACACCAGAGAAAATGAAGAGATACGAGAGTGGGGCGGTAGCATATACCATAAAAGTACTTCATAGAAGAGTCTGAGCTTACTCTGGCTTGGGAGGCTGCCCGAAGAAAATTATTTTAAAAACGAAAGGAAAGAAAAAGTACTTTATAGAAAAAATATAATAAAACAAAACTTACAACTCTAAAGAATCAGGCTAGGCACAGTGACTCATGCCTGTAATCCCAGCAGTTTTGGAGGCAGAGGCAGGCGGATCACTGGAGGTCAAGAGTTCAAGACCAGCTTGGCCAACATGACAAAATCCTGTCTCTACTAAAAATACAAAAATTAGCTGGGCATGGTGGCACATGCCTGTAATACCAGCTACTCAGGAGGCTGAGGCAGGAGAATGGCTTGAACATGGGAGGCAAAGGATGTAGTGAGCTGAGATCACACCACTGCACTCCAGCCTGGTCAACAAGAGTGAAACTCTGTCTCAAAAAAAAAAAAAAAAAAAAGAATCAGACATTTGAATTCATAAAATAGCATCAGATACTAATTCTTTAAATAAAAATAGAGAAAAATAATAGGTTTGGAAGAGATCTTAAAGGAATATCTCTTCCCTCTATTCTCCAACTTTCTGGTAGGAAAAGAACCTATGCTATCTTCACAGATTTAAAAAGCAAAAAATGAAATGCAAATTTATAGAGACAGATAATAGAAGTTAAAATATTATGATATAAAATTTATCATTGTAACCATTTTGAAGTGTACAGTTGGGTGGCGTTAAGTCATATTCACATGGTGCAACCATCGCTATCATCTATCTCCAGAACTTTTCTCATCTTCTCAGACTTCTGGCCTTCCTGCGTTGGTTTCCGAAAGTGCTGCGATTACAGGCATGAGCCATTGCACCCAGCCAAAAAAATGTTAAGAGAAAAAACAAGGAACTATTGATTCATCTGCATTCCAATTGCCACTGCCCAGGTGGAACAATTCTGACCTGTAACCCACCTAACTCACCACTTCTGCCTGGAAAGCTCACAGGTTTTCCAATTCCTCCAGAACCAAATAAAAAATCCTTAGATTGTCTCAAGGTTAACATGGGGTAAGCCACCAGTGCTCTTCCAACTGCTCCCTGGAAGGAGTGATAGATAAGGAAGGAGTGATAGATAAGGAAGGAGTGATAGATAAGGAAGGAGTGATAGATAAGGAAGACCACATGGCAAAATCTGAGAGACGTTTCCAGTAAATGCAATGTGTTGCGACACTAACAGTAAACACATTCATAGGCCAGGGATGGTAGCTCATTCCTCTAGTCCGAGCACTTGAGAAGGCTGAAGCAGGAGGATTGCTTGAACCCAGGAATTTGAGGCTGCAGTGAGCCATGATGACACCATTACACTCTAGCCTGGGCAACAGAGTGAAACTCTTGTCGAAAGAAGGAAGGAAGGAAGGAAGGAAGGAAGGAAGGAAGGAAGGAAGGAAGGAAGGAAGGAAGGAAGGAAGGAAGGAAGGGAGGGGGAGAAGGAAAGAGGAAGGAAGAGAGAAGAGGAGGAAAGAAGGAAGAAGGAAGAAAGGAAGAGAAGAAAGGAAGGAAGGAAGGAAGGAAGGAAGGAAGGAAGGAAGGAAGGAAGGAAGGAAGGAAGGAAGGAAGGAAGGAAGGAAGGAAGGATGGAAGGAAGGGAGAAAGGAAGAGAAAGGAAAAGAAAGGAAAAGGAAACCCACATTCCTAATGATACTCACTCGGCCCTTGAACCGTGGACAGCCACAAGGAGCTTACTTATCCTCATTCTGACCAAGCATCTAGGCAGAAGTCCTACTAGTATAGAGAGGCTGGCTTGATCTAAACTGATCTAAACCAACGTTTTACCTTACTACCCCCAACGCCCACCTGCCTCTTTCTGTAACCATTCAGTGACAACCACCAGGACTTGATGTATTCACTGCCTAGCCCAGGGGCATCTTGGGAGGTGAGCATCCTGTCAGGCAGTGCCCCCAGAACAGTACATGCTGGAAGAAAAGCCTCCCTACGCACCCCGTGTGACAGACAGAAAGGGAACTGCCGGCTCACTGGGAGAGCTGGTTACACAAGCAGGAGGAAGTCAGCCTTCTGTGACTCCACTGCCCTCTGCAGAAGCTTGCATTTGTCTAGGCAGGTTCTTGGACTGGTTTTGCAGTCAGGAAATCCCAGAATGAAAACAGGAAAAAAGTTTTGCTTCTTTCAGAAAGCCCACTAAGGGCCAGGTGTGGTGGCTCATGCCTGTAATCCCAGCACTTTGAGAGGCCAGGGTGGGAGGACTGTTTGAGGCCAGGAGTACAAGACCAGCCTGGGCAACATAGCAAGACCCCCATCTCTAAAAAAATTTTTTTATTTTTATTTTTTAAATGATAAAAGATAGTTAATTTCAAAGAGGGCTTGTGAGGCTGTGAAACCAAGAGCTCTTAACACTGTGACCAAAGATGGAAGTTCTCTATAGGATGCCATAGCATTCGATGGTGCTATGTTTTCTTGAGGAGATATAAGAAAAAAGAAAAAGAAAAAAAATGATAAAAGAGAACTCACTAGGCACCAGAAATTGCTCTGGGGAGAGTGCAGATCAGCCTCCACCCAGTTGTCTCTCAGCCTGAGCGGGGACATCTCACACCTCCTCTACAGTGGGAGAGAACAGTCCACATATCTGCCCAGTGACAATCCCAGGCCTTGAAAGAGCTCACTGCTTCACGGAGGAGTGAAAACAGACTTCATATATCCTAGGAAAGACGCTGCAACTTAAGGGAAAGGGAGCGTTGTCCTGAGATCTTAGAGAGAAAACACTGCTGTGAAATGTTTTGATATCAGAGCAGAGAAAAATTTTAGAAAATATCCACAAGGTATGGAGCAACGTACAAGAGATAAGGAAATTGTACCAACAGAGAGTTCCAGAGATCTGCAGTGTTCCCTCGAGCCTTTGCAAAGTATTGCTTTCCACAGTCTTAGGAGGAAGCTACGTGAATCCAGGAAAGAGCCCCTAGAAAGATGTGGATGAGCAAATCTAAAGAGTCAGAATGTATTACCTGCTGCACACAATACATGCTACAACACGGGTGGCCCCCAGAAACATTATGGCCAGTAGAAAAAGCCAGATGCAAAAGACCACATGATACAACAGGATTCCATTTACAATGAAATATCCAGAAAAAGCTAGTATTTTTTTCTTTTCTCTTCTTTTGAGCCAGTGTCTCACTCTGTCAGCCAGGCTACAATGGTGCAATATTGGCTCAGCACAATCTCCACCTCCCGGGTTCAAGTGATTCTTGTCCCTTCAGCCTCGGAGTAACTGGGATTTACAGGCACATGCCACCACACCTAACTAATTTTTGTATTTTGTGTAGAGATGGGGTTTCGCCATGTTGGTCAGGCTGGTTTCAAACTCCTGGCCTCAAGTGATCCACCCACCTCAGTCTCCCAAAGTGCTGGGATTACAGGTGTGTGTCACCGCACCCGGCCAGAAAAAGCAAATTTATGATACAGAAATCAAACCAGTGCTTGTCTAAGGCTGAAGATAGGAATGAAGATCAACTGTAAACAAGCATAAGGGATCTTTCAGAGTGGCAGAAATGTGCTAAAACTGGATTGTGGTGATGTTTGCACAACTCAGTATGTTTACTAAAAGTCATTGAATTGTACACGGAGCATGGATGAATTTTAAGTAGGAAAATTATAACCTAATAAAGCAGTTCAGAAAAGCAAATCCTAGGCAAGAAAAATAAAATAAATGGACAAAATACCTTATCTAGAAGTTAAGGTGGACTAAAAGACTACTCCAAGTAAAGTACAGAGACAAAATAAGAAAAATTAGTTGAAAAACTAGACAACAATAAAAGGAATAATGAAAACTTAGGAGCTATTAAAAAGTGTATAAAGAGGGCTGGGCGTGGTGGCTCATACCTGTAATCCCAGCACTTTGGGAGGCTGAGGCGGGCAGATCACGAGGTCAGGAGTTCGAGACCAGCCTGGCCAACGTGGTGAAACCCTGTCTCTACTAAAGATACAAAAAATTAGCCAGGTGTGTTGGCAGGCACCTGTAATCCCAGCTACCCAGGAGGCTGAGGCAGGAGAATCGCTTGAACCTGGGAGGCAGAGGTTGCAGTGAACCGAGATTACATCATTGCACTCCAGCCTGGGTGACAGAGCGAGACTCTGTCTCAAAAACAAATAAATTATAAATTATAAATTACTTAGACTATTTTAAGGAGAAGCAAACAAAATCCTTAAAAGTGATATTGAAGGTTTATAATTCAAAATACTCATATTTGTGTTATATATTCTATAACTATAGAAATAGATCATTTCTACAATCTATAATATTATAATATACAATATATATAGAAGACAGAAACTTGTGAAGCTGACTAATCAAAATTCTTTTACCAAAGCCTGGCAAAGACAGTCTCACTCATGGATAGGAGTGTGAAAATCCTAAATAAAACCCTGACAGATGAAATTCAACAGTACAGTAAAAGAACAATGAATCTTGACCAAGTAAGGATATGGGTCAGCTTTGTGTTTTAAGGACCTGAGACAAAGTTTGGCAGTTCCTCAATAAGTAAAACAAAACTATAATATGACTCAACAACTCCACTCCTGGTTTAAGACAGTATACTCAAAGAATTGAAAACAGAGGCCAGACATGGTGGCTCATGCCTATAATCCCAGCACTTTGGGAAGCCCAGGAGGGTGGATCACCTGAGGTCAGGAGTTTGGGACCATCCTGGCCAACATGGTGAACCCCTGTCTATACTAAAAATACAAAAAATAGCTGGGTCTGGTGGCATGTGCCTGTAGTCCCTACTACTTGGGAGGCTGAGAGAGGAGAATGGCTTGAACCTGGGAGGCAGAGGTTGCAGCAAGCTAAGATTGCACCACTGCACTCCAGCCTGGGCAACAGAGCGAGACTCCATTTCAAAAAAAAAAAATATATATATATATAGAAATTAGCCAGATGTGGTGGCACACACCTGTAGTCACAGTCACTCGGGAGGCTGAGACAGGAGAATGACTTGAACCCAGGAGGTGGGTTCTTTGCAGCTGGCTTGGCATAAGTGTAAAGTCCAGTAGATAGGCTGGACACAGTGACTCACACCTGTAATTGAAGCACTTTGGGAGGCCTAGGTAGGAGGATCACTTGAGGCCAGGAGTTTGAGACCATCCTGGGAAGCATAGAGAGACCCTGTCCCTACCAAAAAATTTAAACATTAGCTGGGTGTGATGGCATGCACCTATAGTCCTAGCTAATCAGGAGGCTGAGGTGGGAAGATTGCTCGAGCCCAGGAGTTCAAGGCTGCAGTGAGCTATAATGGTGCCACTGCACTCCAGCCCTGGTGACAGAGTGAGACTCCGTCTCTAATAAAAGTTAAAAAAAAAATTTTAAGTGCAGTAGGGAACAGAGAAGAACTGAGATGACCTTACATTGTTCCTCGCAGCTCCAGAGAGGTACAGGAGATTATCTCTGTGTCCCTGTGAAGGGGACAGTTTTAGCTAAAATAGAACTAGACCTCAAGAAGCTCTGCAGTCAGGGATAACACAGCTGCAACCTGCTTGAAACAACGGCCTAGAATCAAACAGGTTCAGGTACACCTGGGCAGGTGCCATCTTGGACAGAAATTAGACCAGAGCCAGCTTCCTCCCTGTCACATACACCCCCATGCCACTAGAGACAGTGTCAAGAGAAAAGATGAGGGAGGACTGAACTCAGGCAACCCAGAATGGCAGAGATTACCCAGAACTGAGTGAGATGAAGTTCCCACGCCCTGATGGAATGTCTCAAAAGGAAAAGTAGATTGACTCATAGAAAAACGAAGTTTTATTTCTTCTGTGATTTGTGGCTTCAGATACGGTACTTGTCTCAAAGCAGTAAAGACTTTTTTTCACACGGTGGTTCCAGTCTACATTTCCAACCCCACCTTTGCCGCTCTCCTTCGCACCTGCAATGCCAGCAGCATCAGATTACAGGCCGGTGGGAAACGCCCCTGAGCTCTGTGTTTTGCTTCTGCAGCAGCACACTTAGGACAGGCTTTAAAATGGTCACATGCCCCCCATCAAGGGGTTGAAGTCCATAGTCTGTATCACTTCCTGTTGAATCTGAGCTAGCCAACATTGGTGCCTCTCTTGTGGAAGTGATACCACTGAGTTTCTTTCTTTCTTTTTTTTTTTTTTCCGAGACGGAGTCTCGCTCTCACTCAGGCTGGAGTGCAGTGGCACGATCTCGGCTCACTGCAGCCTCCACCTCCCAGGTTCCAGCAATTCTCCTGCCTCAGTCTCCCAAGTAGCTGGGATTTCAGGCATGTGCCACCACACCCAGTTAATTTTTTTGTATTTTTAGCAGAGACGGGAGTTTCACCATGTTGGCCAGGCTGGTCTCGAACTCCTGATCTCAGGGGATCTGCCTGCCTCGACCTCCCAAAGTGCTGAGATGACAGGTGTGGGCCACCGCGGCCGGCTGAGTTTCTGAAACTAGTGTAGAAGATGCCATGCAGCTTCCACCTGGTTCTCTTGGGACACTTACTCTGGGATCCCTGAGCTGCCAAATTAGAAATCTGGCGACCCAAAGGTTACCTGCTGTGAGAAGGCCCGTGGAGAGGCCATAGGTAGGCTTTTCTACCCACAGCTCCGCTAAGGCCTCATACAATAATAGCCAGGATTAACCACCAGACATGTGAATGTAGACGCTCTCAGACAATTTCACCTTCCATCTGTGCGGTCACCCCCACGTTTAAGTCTTTCTAGTTAAGGGCCCAGACATGGCGGACCAAAGACAAGCTTACCCTGTTGCACCCTTTCTGAATTCCTGACCCACAGAATCTGTGTGCATAATAAAATGGTTTGCTTTTTGCCACTAAATTTTGGGGCTGTTTATTATGCAGCAGTGGTAGTGAAACAATGCCCTTCTCTATTTTGCTAGTACAGTCTATTCATCCTTAAAGGCCCAGCAAAATCATCGTCCCCTCTCTGAAACCCACCTTCAGTTCCATGGTCAGAATGGATCCCTTAGTGTGACTTGTGTTTAGTTGTACGCTGCTGTATCACTCCTTTCTCCTAAGGCCAGCACCATGCATAGCAGGGAGCCCTACACTAGCAGGAACTCAAAAATAATTTGCTAAAAGACACAGCCATAAAAAAGAATGAAATCATGTTCTTTGCAGCAGCATGGATGCAGCTGGAGGCCATTATCCTAAGCAAATTAACGCAGGAACAGAAAATGAAATATCACATGTTCTCGCTTATAAGTGAGAGCTAAACATTGGGTACTCATGGACATAAAGATGTCATTGTAGACACTGGGGACTACTAGAGCAGGAAGGGAGGGAGGGGGCAAGGGCTGAAAAACTGCTATTGGGTACTGTGCTCACTACCTATTGGGTACTATGGTGACAGCATCACACAATATACCAATATAACAAACCTGAACATGTACCCCTTAAATTTAAAATAAAAGTTGAAATTATTTTTTAACAAAAGAAAATTCTATGTATTTAGATCAAAACC